AGCCCGCGACGCCCCAAGCGCCGCCCGACCTTCCGCGCGTGCGCCCCCACGGAGGACACGCCGCCCTTCGAGGCGCTGTTCCTCAAGGGCCCTGTCCCCGGCGACCGCATTGTGCGCACCATCTCGGCCACGGGCGAGGTGTCGTGCCGCGTGGTCTCGTGCACGGGCCTGGTGTCCGGCGCCACGCGCCTGCACCGCACGACGCCGGTCGCGTCCACCGCCTTCGGCCGCGCCCTCACGTGCGCCCTGCTGCTGTCCGCCGGAAAGAAGGACGGCGAGACGCTTCAGCTCGAGTTCCGCGGCGCAGGCCCGATCAAGGGAATCACGGCCATCTCCAACGGCTCCGGCGAGGTCCGCGGCTACGTCGGCAACTCGGCCGTGTCCGTCCCGCTCAGGAACGGCCGCGTCGACGTGTCCGCCGCCATCGGCAAGGGCGTCCTGGCCGTCGTACGCAACACCCCCTTCAGCAAGCAGCCGTACACCGGCCTCGTCCAGATCTCCTCCGGCGAGGTCGCCGAGGACTTGGCCAAGTACCTCGCCGAGTCCGAGCAGACCCCGTCCGCGCTCGGCGCGGGCATCTATTTGGGCGAAGGCGGCGCTGTTACGGCCGCTGGCGGCTACTTGGTCCAGCTGTTGCCCGGCGCATCGGAGAGGACTGCTGAGATAGTCGAGAGAAACGTCAGGGCCATTGGCACGCCGACCGAGCTGGTAAGGGCCGGCTGCACCCCGGATGAGATTGTTGATAACTTGATGAAGGATCTGTCGCCTATTAAGGTTGCTAGCGTTTCGCCGAGGTATTGCTGCCACTGCGGGGTGGACCGCGTGAAGAGGACCGTCGCCTTGATTCCGGAGCTGGAGGTGCGCCAGTTGCTGCAGGACCAAGGCAAGATCGAAGGTAAGCTTACCGTGCGCGTGTGTAGCGAGCTTGGTGCCTTGTTTCGTTTTCCTTTTGACAGTTGCTGCGGAAATGTTGACCAATGTGGCCCCCCCCCCTTGCTCTCCCTTTCTCTACTCTACTTGTTTCCCCGTGTGCGCGAACGACGCGCGTCTCCGATTCGAGCAGCTACTTGCCAGTTTTGCGGGCAGGTGTACGCACTGCTGCCAGAAGAAGTTGAACAAATCTTTGAGGCGGGACAAAAATGACCCCGCCGGTCCCTTGTATAAACCGACCCCCCTTTCGCTATTTGTACAGTACAGCCGCTACACACCAAACTACACCAAACTACCCCTGCTTCCCCGCCCCCTCGACCTTTGTAAAAAAGTCATCCACCGCCTTTAACGTGTCTTCCGTCGCGGCCAGGTGGGCGACCCTTCCCGCACCCTTAAGCACCGTCTCCTCGAACATCGCCGCGCCGCGCACGTCCCCCAACGGCTCGACATCGCCGGTGCGCAGCGCCAGCGTCGGCACCCGGCGCGCCACCCTTTCCACCGCCTCCGCCATCGGCGACCGACCCCTCCCTGCCGCGTACAACGTCCTCACCAGGGCCGCATCCCCGCCCTCGGCGCCCTCCACCGCGCACACCCTGCTGCCCTGCAGCCGCTCAAACGTGACGCCCTCCCTCCCCTCCCCACGCACGTCCCCCCACGCCTCCGCCACCACGGACGCCACGCGCGGCGCGCCCTCCGCGACCGCGCCGACCAGGGCCTCCGCCACCTCCAGCCCGAAGCCGCAGGCGACGACGTGCACCCTGCCGCCGTCGCCAGGGCCGACCTCGCGCGCG